CAAAGTCGTCTCAACGCTGGACTCAACTAGATCACATCGCCATCAGCCACCGATGGAGGGGTTCGATAGAGGACTGTCGCTCGTTCTGGAGCACATGTCTAGATTCAGATCATGCCCTAGTGCGAGCGCGTATTTGTTTGAAGCTTACTGGGCGTAGGAAAGACACCGTAAGAAAGCCTCTTAGGTTTTACTTGATGATAATACGGCGAAAAATATGTTTCAGGAACAACTAGAAAGACAGTTAGGAGACCAATTAAGCGATTCCCATCGGGAAACAGGATGGAATGATATCAAAAAGGCTGTGGAAACAGCAGTGATATCTGCTAGTGAGGTTGACCGTAAGGCTAGAATGAAACCGTGGATCTCAGTAGCATCCACCGATCTGATGGATGCCCGAAAACTCATCCCACCTGGCTCTGAACATGATGAAGAACGAAGTCAACTTAGGCGCAGACTTATAAAAAGCCTACGTAACGATCGCGAACAGTGGTGGATGGCGAAAGCAAAAGCGATGGAAAAGGCAGCGGCGATAGGCAACAGTAGACAACTTTTCCGACTTATCAAGGAAACTGGTATTAGGAATCCTAGTGTAAGCGAGACTATCTCAGAAAATGACGGGACTATTATTTATTCTCAATCCAGGAGATCGGATCGATGGGCAGAACACTTCAGAGATCAGTTCAACTGGCCTTCAGCCACACTTCGGTTACCCACGATCTCCAGCCATCCTGAATGGCAAATCGACGTAAGTCCCCCTAGTCTTAATGAAGTTGAAAAAGCTTTAGGAAATCTGAAGCGAGGACGAGCTGCAGGTCCTGATAGATTGACCCCTGAGATATTTAAGGATGGTGGTCCAGTTTTAGCAGCTAGGTTGACTGAGATCTTAGGTAGAATCTGGGAACTGGCCGCAATCCCATCCGACTGGTCTCAATCACTGATTGTCCCAATCTATAAGAAAGGACACAAGTCTTCTTGTGACAATCACAGGGGAATAAGTCTAATATAGCATCTAAAATATTGGCCTCAGTAATACTTCGACGCTTAACGAAAGCTCGTGAAGAGCAGACTCGAGAAAACCAGGCTGGTTTTCGACCTGGACGTGGCTGCATAAACCACATTTTCACACTACGACAGGTCTTGGAACACAGAAACACATTTAGGCGTCCTACAATAGTTGTTTTCCTGGACCTTAAGGCGGCATTTGACTCAGTGGATCGTGAGGTTCTGTGGCAGTGTCTGTCATTGAAAAGTGTACCAAATAAGTACATTAACCTCATACAAGCTCTCTACTCAAACACCACTGGTCGAGTGAGAGCTTATGGCGAACTGTCACCGGAATTCTCTACATCAAGTGGTGTCCGTCAGGGATGTCCACTTTCTCCATTCTTGTTTAATTTTATCATAGACATGCTCCTAGAAATAACCTTATCCTCGTCTGAATTTTCTGGAGTAGACCTTCTACCAGGTGGCTCGCTTATTGACTTAGAATATGCCGATGACATAGTCCTACTTGGTGAAGACGCTGACAAAATGCAGAGTCTTCTGACCACCCTAAGCAACAATGCAAGCATGTTTGGGATTCGGTTTTCCCCCATGAAATGCAAAATGTTGCTTCAAGATTGGGTTGCAACGGCACCTGAACTAGTGATAGGGAGTGAAGTAGTCGAACGTGTAGACCGCTTCACTTATCTTGGGAGTCTCGTCAGTGCCGATGGCCTGGTGACTGACGAAATCTCGGCACGGATACAGAAGGCTCGATTGGCTTTTGCCAACCTGCGTCACTTATGGCGTAGGCGAGATATCCGTCTGCTGACTAAAGGACGAGTGTACTGCGCAGTGGTTCGCTCCGTCTTACTTTATGGCTGTGAAACATGGCCAATGAGAGTAGAAGATACTCGTCGGATATTGGTTTTCGATCATAGATGTCTTCGAAGCATTGCTCGTATATCGTGGGACAACCGAGTGAGCAACGCTGTTATTAGGAATCGGGTGCTAGGTAAGAATGGCAGACCAATCGATGAAGTGGTGAAACTTCATCAGTTGAGGTGGTTGGGACACGTGTTGCGTATGCCTAACCAACGACTCCCTCGTCGAGCTTTGTTTTGTAGTGTAGGAATAGGTTGGAAGAAAGCTAGGGGCGGCCAGACCAAAACATGGCAGAAATCCATGAAGTCATTGACGAGTGGACTTAGCCATGTCGGTAATTGTCGACTACCTGGTTGGGGTCCGCGAGATGATAATAATCGATGGCTAGAGACCTTGAATGACATGGCTCAAAATCGTTCGCAATGGCGCCAGTGCATTTATTCTTTGTGTTCTCTCAAATCCTAATCTTCTGGATTCTTCAACAGCTCTAGTTTTTACTTTCTAAACTTATCTCATTTAATCATACTTCATGAATAATATCTTCTAATCCTAACCTCTCTGATTACTTCTAATACCTTTACTACCTCTTCTACTATTGGATTTGAATTGACAATTAAATCTCTGTGTTGATGTGGTATGGCGACATGAACTGATGTACTTACGTACGAAGTTCTACGTTGCAACTGACTGACTGACTGACTCTCGAATCATATCTTCGAAGCCTAATTTTCTCCATTACTGATAATACTTCTACTATCTCTACCACTATTGGATTTGAGCTGACAGTTGCGTCTCTGTGCTAATACGGTATTGCAACTTGAACTTATGTACTTAATTACGAAGTTCTACATTGTGACTGACTGACGATTGCCCTTATATTCCCCTAACTTCAATCGGGATCATCTTGTTAACAATCACTTAGTTATTATCAACTTTCTTGTCCCAACAATTAACCCTACTCATGTATCTTTATCGCCATGCACCACTAAAACTAATGATTTGAGTTCGCGAAATTTTATTACTAGTCTCCTGAAACCACACTCTAAACGACATGTTAGAGCTTTTAATTGGATAATAAAACTAGTTTTTCCAGCTAAGACTAGAATCTCGCGCCATAAATGTATGCTGTATCCGAAACGCGCACATAGGATCCAGGTATAGTCATTCATCTCACCATGTCAATATAAACAGCCGGAGCAGTTTACAGACATGACGACCCCCACAACTGACCCAACGATGGACAAAGAGACAAAATTTTCGCTATCCATCGTTGAAGAGGCTTGATAGAAGATTGTCGCTTACTTAAAAGTACATATTTAGATTCAGATAATGCTCTAGCAAAAGCATGCATTTGTCTGCATCTCACTGGACGTAAAAATGCCACATCTAAATTAACTGTGATATTAGCTGGGACCTAGATGTAATTGCATCTGGCTGGCTTCTATCACCGATCGTGTCCGTCTATAAGAACAAACGTCTTCTTGTGACAGTTGGGGGGATCAGTTTAACTAATAGTGTCTAAGATATTAGCCTCAATAATACTTCAACGCTTAACTAGGACTTTTGAAGAGCGAACTGAAGAACACCAAGCTGGCTTCCGTTGATCGTGAGGTTCTGTGGTAGTGTCTGTCATTGAATGGCGTGCCGAAGAAGTAAATTAACCTTGCATAGGCTCTCCACTCGACCACTACTAATCGGGTCTGAGCTTATGGAAGACCGTCATTGGAATTGATTACTCCAAGTGTCGTTCAGCGTTACCCGCTTTTCTCATTTCTATCTAAATTTGCTTCTACAGACAACACTTTCAACGTCTGACTTTCCTAGTGTTGACCTTCTTTAAGTCTGGTAAGTGCTACCCACAAGATTGCTCATAAGTAGCATGTCGCGGAACATCGTGTGTAAATTGTTACAGTTGGCAGCAAGATTCTCAGATCAGAAGCACGGCGTGTTCGGAATACTTTGGATACCAAAAGATAAGCGAGAGTAGATAATCTAGAACCAACTTGGGTTGAAGAACACTTAACAAGATGCAAATGCATGACTGAAGACTAGGTGAACATGTTGCATAAACATTCCGTTACTTGCTAACTAAACATCCCAACCTGTCAGTCGTTTGTTCTTAAACCAAAAAATTCACTGTTGACTACGAATGAACAGATGACATGGTCAATATGCTGACAAAACGCAGAGCATTCTGACCACCTTAAGCAACAATGCTAGCGTGTTTCCGATGCGATTCTCTCCTACCAACTACAAGATGTCGCTGTAAAATGCCTTGCGTCGAAACCTGGGTTAAAGATAGAGAATGGAGTAATTGACCATGTTGACCACTGACATATCTTTGGAGTTTCATCAGTCCTGACGGTCTGGTGCCTGGCAAAATCTCGTCGCAGATTGAGGAAGTTCGATTGGTTTCTGATAACGTAGGTCATCTGTAGCGTAAGATATCCGTCTGCTAACCAAAGGAAGTTCACTGTGTTCTACTTAATTTTATGAAACATGGCTATGAGAGTATAATTTATGGATCTCTCTTGAGTGACACCAACGTGAACTTTAGAAAATACGCCTACTTACCAAGGTCTAAAGAGGATTATAAATTTGTGTGAGTAATTAGAACTAGGATTAACGGTTAGAAGTTAGAGCTTTCATAACGAACTGACATCAGCTAAAATGCTGTTCGTCCGCATGAACTAATTTCACGCCAAAAGCCAAGAATCGTTATAGTGACTTTGATTGGTTCGCCCATAAATTAGGCTCACCAATTAGGCGATTAGGAATAGAGGATATTCACAGTTTACGAATATTCGATCAAAGATTTCTTTGGAACAATGCTCATATGGTCTGGGACCACTCCGTAAGCAATACATGGGTTAGGAATAGAGTAAGAATGACAAATTGGTTGATGAAGGAATGAGTTTTCATCAGCCAAGATAGTGTAACGTACGAAGAAGCCAAGACTAGGTGGAATATATATTTGAAGACGACACCGTTTGTTTACAAAATATTTACACAATCTTTGAACAGCTGGTTATTTACTCTAATATATTGTCCCGTTAACGGTGCACTTCAAGTCAATTTTCCTAGTATTACTATGGATTTACTCGAAAATATTCGACAACCAGAACAACAGTTTACGGGATAGTGTGTATTGTTGATAATTAATGAAGACCACAAGACACGATAGGCAATCATACTGGGAAACAAGTGGATGAATAATGAGTGGGAGCATGTACGTGTATCTTTTGTGTTAATCAAAACGTGGATAAAGTTATTGTATATTTACGTTCACAACAAATTAGAGAATGGATAAAGATTTCACGATAGTAAAAATATGACAGGGTTTTTTCTGTCGTACAAAAAAATTGAGGAAGGCTTGCTATACATCCATTTGTAATCCAAGCACGTTATTAACTGCCTTCTCTCACATCTTTTTGCGTCTTCAATATACTTTGATCGCGCCATGCATTTCGATCGCCAGACTTCACTCTCTGATAGCAACCTCCAAGCGACGCCCCGCCGGATGCTACTGATATGCCTTGTGAGTAGCATATACCAGGGTTGACGTGTTACGGAATCCCAACCAAAGCCTACCTCGACGAGCGATGTTCTCTGATGTAGTAGGTTAGGAGAAAGCCAGGGGTGACCAAAACACAAAATGGCACCATTGCATGAAGTCAGTGACAAGTGGACTGAGCCATGTTAATAGGTGTAGGCTTCCTGGATGGGGTCCGTGTGATTATTGTAACCAGTTGTTAAACAATGAATTTTATGGTTCAAAGTTGTTTGTGATGACGCAGGTGCACTCATTTTTCGTCTTGCCTTTAATCCCAAGCTTTCGAAGTCCCCATAACCTTTTAAATTTATTTCGCTGATTTATATCTTCTTGTATCTTATCTTCGATTTCTAATCTTTTCCGTTACCACCAAGACTATTACTACATCTACTATTCTGGGATTCGACCGGACAATTTCATCTCTCTATGCTAACTTTCCATTTAGACAGAGTAAAGTATTCAGCAATTTTCCACTAATTATATATTTGTTCAGATCATTAGATGCAACCAGCAAAAAGTTAATGAAAATAAATAAAGATTATTCAGCTTACCAAACTGCTGTTTGGTCGTTATCAATCTGGAGAGTGGATGGCATAGTTGATAATTCGGGATACACATATTCTGAAGAATTAATTGTAGACTGATTTTGAAAATGTCTCTCAAATGCTTTCCAATCATCACTTAATTTATCAAGAACAGGTCTCGGAAGCCAGACAGCTGCACATACTTCATCTACTTCAAGTTTAAGTTGTGGTAAGTATGAGTGAATTTCATCTGAATCTAAAACAGGTCTGTAAATAAATGCTGTTTAGAAGGAGAATAAAGTTTATAAATACTCTTTAATATGGCTAATACTCAACAGAATATCAGAACATAGAAGTATACAGTAAATAAACGATGGGACGCTAAGGGGTGGAATTTTACTGGTTATTTTTTGACTTTACGATACGCAATCACAGAGCAGAATCTATACTTTCTCCGATTCCTAGTGAAGCTATTTGACTATGGAATCACAAATGGGAAGAAATAACTACATCCGGTATTTATGTCAATTTTACATTGATTGTAACTTTTAGTATAAATAATCAAGAGTACTTTAAATGCACATCTTCAATAACTCACAGGATCAAGAACATTAATTAATCACGCCCACCAATAATTAAATCGAACGTCAAACTTTGAAGATATGAAACCACAACATTGTAGAATGTATAGGGGAACAATTCGATTCACTACATAAATTGCTCTTGATAAATCGATAGATATAATTCTGTATTTTGGTTATCTGCCATCAGTGATACTCGTCTAGTCTTCGTAAAATGAAGCTGAAATTAAATTGTGACTTTAAGTCAACATTCAAGGACAATGGGAAATATCAAGACAGAGTACACTGCGTAGTTATTACGGATGAGTCCCGGCTATATACTAAATAGGATAAACCTTTCACGGTGTGGGCAGCCGGGAAGTGATAACCGCCCTCATACCCGCAACAGCACACGAGACAAAATTGTTCAAAATCAAATCCTTCCTACATTCCCTAATACCTCTCTTATCTCCACAACTAACTCTTCTCACATTCATTTATTACAGTGCACAGCTAATGCAAACGATGCGAGTTTGTGAAACGTCGTCCCTGGTCTCCTTAAACCCCGTTCCAAACTACATGTTGGAGCATTCAATGTACGGACATTGTGTCAAATAGGGCAACAGGCGTCATTAGCTAGGACTTTAGAATCTCGTTCCATCGATGTGTGCTGCGTCTCGGAAACGCGCATACAGGATCCGAGTAGCATCACTCATTTGACCTCACCATGTGAAGATAAAGAAGCAGCTCGATTTACCCTTCGTGTATCCGGTAGCCCTGATGCTGCCTCCAGGGATCTTGCTGGCGTAGGCATAGCAATGAGTTGTAGGGCAGAACAATCTCTCCTTGACTGGATCCCTGTAGATAGTCGCTTGTGCGCCGTCCGACTGAACGGGACAGTAAGGACTCGGAAAGATAGGGACAATCGCCGTTGCCTCTTCGTCATATCAGCCTACGCCCCCACTGACTGCAGCCCAGATGATGTAAAAGATGAGTTTTACAGAAAGCTTTCGGACCTCCTCCAAAAAGTTAAGCGCTCTGATATAGTTATAATGGCTGGTGACTTCAATGCACAAGTAGGTAGACTAAGTGAAAATGAAAGACACCTAGGTGGATGTTACGGTCTCGCGGCTCAAAGAACAGACAATGGCGACCGTCTGTTGCAACTGTGCTCAGATAACCAACTATTTCTAGCAAACACTAATTTTAAGCATAAGGAAAAACACCTTTTGACCTGGCGACCACCGAAGTCGTCTCAACGTTGGACACAACTAGATCATATCGCCATCAGCCACCGATGGAGGGGTTCGATAGAGGACTGTCGCTCGTTCTGGGGCACATGTTTAGATTCAGATCATGCCCTAGTGCGAGCACGTATTTGTTTGAGGCTTGCTGGACGTAGGAAAGACACCGTAAGGAAGCCTCTTAGGGCTTTACTTGATGATAATCAAGCTAAGAAAATATTTCAGGAGGAACTAGAAAAACAGTTGGGCGATCATGCAAGTGATTCCCATCCGGAGTCAGGTTGGAATGATATAAAGAAGGCTGTGGAAACAGCAGTGATATCTGCTAGTAAGGTTGACCATAAGGCTAGAATGAAACCGTGGATCTCAGTAGCATCCACCGATCTGATGGATGCCCGAAAACTCATCCCACCTGGCTCTGAGCATGATGAAGAACGAAGTCAACTTAGGCGCAGACTTATGAAAAGCCTACGTAACGATCGCGAGCAGTGGTGGGTGGCGAAAGCAAAGGCGATGGAAAAGGCAGCGGCGATAGGCAACAGTAGACAACTTTTCCGCCTTATTAAAGAAACTGGTATTAAGAACCCGAATGTGAGTGAGACTATCTCGGAAAAGGATGGTCTTATTATCCATTCTCAATCTAGGAGGCTGGACCGATGGGCAGAACACTTTAGGGATCAGTTCAACTGGCCTTCAGCCACACTTCAGTTGCCCACGATCTCCAGTCATCCTGAATGGCAAATCGATTTAAGTCCTCCCAGTTTACATGAAGTTGAGAAAGCTATAGGAAATCTAAGGAGAGGTAGAGCGGCAGGTCCCGATAGGCTTACCCCTGAGATGTTTAAGGATGGTGGTCCAGTTTTAACGGTTAAACTGACCGAGATCCTAGGTAGAATCTGGGAAATGGACGTAATCCCATCCGACTGGTCTCAGTCGCTAATTGTCCCAATCTACAAGAAAGGACAGAAGTCCTCTTGTAACAATCACAGGGGAATAAGTTTAACTAATATAGTTTCTAAATTGTTAGCCTCGATTATACTTAGACGTCTAACTAGAGCTCGCGAAGAGCAGACACGAGAAAACCAATCTGGTTTTCGACCTGGACGTGGTTGTATAGACCACATCTTCACACTACGACAGGTCCTGGAATACAGACACACATTTAGACGTCCGACAATAGTCGTGTTCCTGGACCTTAAGGGGGCATTCGACTCAGTGGATCGTGAGGTTCTATGGCAGTGTCTGTCATTGAAAGGTGTACCAAAGAAGTACATTAACCTTATACAAGCACTCTACTCGAACACCACTGGTCGGGTGAGAGCATATGGCGAACTGTCATCTGAATTCTCTACATCAAGTGGTGTCCGTCAGGGCTGTCCACTCTCTCCATTCTTGTTTAACTTTGTCGTAGACATCCTCTTAGAGTTAACATTAAGCTCGTCAGATTTTTCAGGGGTTGACCTTCTACCAGGTGGCTCGCTTACTGATCTAGAATATGCCGATGACATAGTTCTATTCGGTGAAGACGCTGACAAAATGCAGAGTCTTCTGACTACCATAAGCAACAATGCGAGCATGTTCGGGATGCGGTTTTCCCCGTCGAAATGCAAAATGTTGCTTCAAGACTGGATTGCATCGGCACCTGAACTAGTGATAGGGAGTGAAGTAGTCGAGCGTGTTGATCACTTCACTTATCTGGGGAGTCTCATCAGTGCTGACGGTCTGGTGACTGACGAAATCTCAGCTCGGATACAGAAAGCTCGATTGGCTTTTGCCAACCTGCGTCACTTATGGCGTAGGCGTGATATCCGTTCGCTAACCAAAGGGCAGGTGTACTGCGCAGCAGTTCGTTCCGTTCTCTTATATGGCTGTGAAACATGGCCGTTAAGAGTAGAAGATGTTTGTAGGTTACTAGTATTCGATCATAGATGTTTAAGAAGCATTGCTCGTATATCGTGGGACAGCCGAGTAAGCAATGCTGTCGTTAGGAAACGAGTACTAGGTAAGGATGGCAGATCAATCGATGAAGTGGTGAAACTTCATCAGTTGAGGTGGTTGGGACATGTGTTACGTATGCCTAACCACCGACTGCCTCGACGAGCTATGTTCTGTGGTGTAGGAGTAGGTTGGGAGAAAGTCAGGGGCGGCCAGACCAAAACATGGCAGAAATCCATGAAGTCACTGACAAGTGGACTGAGTCATGTTGGTAGATATAGACTACCTGGTTGGGGTCCGCGAGACGAGAGTCATCAATGGTTAGAGACCTTGAACGACATGGCTCAAAATCGTTTGCAATGGCGCAGGTGCATCCACTCTTTGAGCTCTCTCAAATCCTAATCTTCTGGATTAGCCAGCACCTGTACCTTTGTCTTTCTAACCTTATCTCACTGAATTAAATTTTTTGAATAATATCTTAAACCCTAGTCTTCTTTATTATAACATTAATACCTCTACCATCTTTATCACTATGGGATTTGATTTGACATTTGCGTCTCTGTGCTAATAATGTGGTATGGCAACATGAACTTATGTACATACGTACGAAGTTCTACGTTGCAACTGACTGACTAAATAGGATAGGAACAATACGTCATTATTAAACTGTTTGGAATACTGTCATTTTCCTAAATGACTGTCGAATGCTAATCTCAAGAAAATGGGCATGATCTCACCACAATATCTTTACGAACCCAGGACAGGTATCGATGTAAGATTTACTATAATAATTACTCAAGCTACAAAAATTAGTCACAAACGGATATACACCAGCAACTGTTGGGTCATAAGCCTATTAAATCACTCACTGACCTAAGAAAGTCAACCAATATATAAGTCTTAATTCTATTCAGTAAGATATCGCATGAAGCAGATATACGCTAATGTTCGTATTTTTGTTGCTCATTTGTTCTAAACGTTTATGAGGGAACTAAGAGCTAGTTATAAGTCAAATCTTAGGGATTGCTAGATTAGCGAATGAATAGCTGCAAGCTTAAACAAAGTCCCAAACCAGTTATATTCACTGAAATGAACAGGATACCTTGAACCTGTAAGTCAAAGCTTGTATGCAAGACCCAATCAGTTGTAGACCAGTTACGGCAACTTTAAGTGATGTACGTACGTACGAAGTCTCTACGTTGCTGTTGATTGATTGATTGAAACCAGTTACAGTGATTTAAGTACTTGAAAACTAGGTCAGGATAGTATGGCAAAAGTATTTATTAGGACGACTCTCAAAAATCTTAATGAGCTCACCATATGATAACGATTTAATACTACATTTGTACAAACTGTCTGGTATTGCAACTACTGATTGCTTTTCTGCTTTTCTTGATTAAAATGTTCTTGGTGCACAAGGTAATTTAGGAATTCATTTTTTGTGGCCTTACCCACATATTCGATTGAAAACAAATCTTTTGTAATCGACAATATTGATTCCGTTGATCATTAATACAAATTGTTTTTTGAAAACTAACACTCGAAATCGAGGATCCCGACTTTTCATCGCTGTAAGAAAGATTTGATGTCGTTTGTTGCTGACGAGAAAATCGAAAAACCAGTAAAATCCCCAAGCCTATTTCAATTATCCAGAACTCGCATGACATCTCAGTGCTATTTAAAAATAACTAAATGTAAGGAGGGATTGTGCACTTTAAAGTTACCTAAAATTTTGAGTCATAATAAAAAAACATGTACGTACCTAAATCGCAAACGCAGCTTGGTATAGGAAAAACTCAAAATTAGAATTCTTACATTGAAGGATGAGACCAATTAACAGAGTAATATATAACCAAATGATGAGATTTAGGAGAGATAGTAGACATTCCGACCGCTGTATCTGAATGAGAAGGATAGGAAGCTTCCCATGCACAAAGTGGTTGAATAGTACATTCATTCACTACATTTCGTTCCTGTAATCCTAACTCTTCTATGAGCTCACGAAATGCAGTGTCCTGTAATTAGTAACATAATTAAAGAATGATGTCATAATTATGTCATTGTTCAATAAACAACAGCACGGATAAATAACATTTTCGGCTAATTAGACCAGACGGAGACACCACAGTCCTCACATAGACGCACTCAATACAAGCTTTTCAAGTGACGGATAAAAGGCAAATGTGTAGTACGTCACTAGAGTCCTGAATACAGGTCTCCGAAAGACAACAGACATCTGTGTTCAGACTTTCTAAAGACAGAGCCAACCCTATCTGTTGTCCGACCTGCAATAATGTGCGAACGTTGAAGGACAGTTTGAATAGCGTACGTGGTTTTAGACATGCTGATTTGGCATTTATATTCGCTGGTAGCACGTTTGACACCAGTCTTCACTTGGAACGAGTCTGCGAGCTGTCCGTCATGCATAATCTTCCAGATTGATCAATTAGAAGAATTCCGTATGATGTTGACTATCTTCTCAGGCACACCATTATGTTTGAGGTAAGACAGAGGTTTAAATAACTTGACAGAAATTTTTTTATAATCTTCAATGAGTTGTTAAGATAAGAAATTCGGTCGAAGTGAGAGGTAACTGTTAAGATGAACTGTGAATTCTTGTTATGTTTGCCCATGTAACCATAGCTTGTAATCTGGACGCGAACAAATAAGTAAATTTCCTTGAGTTACAATAATGCATGCTAACCTGGCGACCTCCAAAGTCGTCTCAACGTTGGACTCAACTAGATCACATCGCCATCAGCCACCGATGGAGGGGTTCGATAGAGGACTGTCGCTCGTTCTGGGGCACATGTTTGGATTCAGATCATGCCCTAGTGCGAGCGCGTATTTGTTTGAAGCTTACTGGGCGTAGGAAAGACACCGTAAGAAAGCCTCTTAGGGTTTTACTTAATGATAATAAGGCGAAAAATATATTTCAGGAACAACTAGAAAGACAGTTAGGCGACCATTTAAGCGATTCGCATCCGGAAGCAGGATGGAATGATATCAAAAAGGCTGTGGAAACAGCAGTGATATCTGCTAGTAAGGTTGACCATAAGGCTAGAATGAAACCGTGGATCTCAGTAGCATCCACCGATCTGATGGATGCCCGAAAACTCATCCCACCTGGCTCTGAGCATGATGAAGAACGAAGTCAACTTAGGCGCAGACTTATGAAAAGCCTACGTAACGATCGCGAGCAGTGGTGGGTGGCGAAAGCAAAGGCGATGGAAAAGGCAGCGGCGATCGGCAACAGTAGACAACTTTTCCGCCTTATTAAAGAAACTGGTATTAAGAACCCGAATGTGAGTGAGACTATCTCGGAAAAGGATGGTCTTATTATCCATTCTCAATCCAGGAGACTGGATCGATGGGCAGAACACTTTAGGGATCAGTTCAACTGGCCACGAGCCACTCTTCGGTTACCCACGATCTCCAGTCATCCTGAATGGCAAATCGACCTAAGTCCCCCTAGTCTTAATGAAGTTGAGAAAGCGTTAGGAAATCTGAAACGAGGACGAGCTGCAGGTCCTGATAGACTTACCCCTGAGATATTTAAGGATGGAGGTCCAGTTTTATCAGCTAGGTTGACTGAGATTTTAGGTAGAATCTGGGAACTGGCCGCAATCCCATCCGACTGGTCTCAATCCTTGATTGTCCCAATCTATAAGAAAGGACACAAGTCTTCTTGTGACAATCACAGGGGAATAAGCCTAACTAACATAGTATCTAAAATATTGGCCTCAATAATACTTCGACGCTTAACGAAAGCTCGTGAAGAGCAAACTCGAGAAAACCAATCTGGTTTTCGACCTGGACGTGGCTGTATAGACCACATTTTCACACTCAGACAGGTCCTGGAACACAGACACACATTTAGGCGTCCTACAATAGTTGTTTTCCTGGACCTTAAGGCGGCATTTGACTCAGTGGATCGTGAGGTTCTGTGGCAGTGTCTGTCATTGAAAAGTGTACCAAATAAGTACATTAACCTCATACAAGCTCTCTACTCAAACACCACTGGTCGAGTGAGAGCTTATGGCGAACTGTCACCGGAATTCTCTACATCAAGTGGTGTCCGTCAGGGATGTCCACTCTCTCCATTCTTGTTTAATTTTATCATAGACATGCTCCTAGAACTTACCTTATCCTCGTCTGAATTTTCAGGAGTAGACCTTCTACCAGGTGGCTCGCTTATTGATTTAGAATATGCCGATGACATAGTCCCACTTGGTGAAGACGCTGACAAAATGCAGAGTCTTCTGACCACCCTAAGCAACAATGCAAGCATGTTTGGGATTCGGTTTTACCCCATGAAATGCAAAATGTTGCTTCAAGATTGGGTTTCATCGGCACCTGAACTAGTGATAGGGAATGAAGTAGTAGAACGTGTAGACCGCTTCACTTATCTGGGGAGTCTCATCAGTGCCGATGGCCTGGTGACTGACGAAATCTCGGCACGGATACAGAAGGCTCGATTGGCTTTTGCCAACCTGCGTCACTTATGGCGTAGGCGAGATATCCGTTTGCTGACTAAAGGACGAGTGTACTGCGCAGTAGTTCGCTCCGTCTTACTTTATGGCTGTGAAACATGGCCAATGAGAGTAGAAGATACTCGTCGGATATTGGTTTTCGATCATAGGTGTCTTCGAACCATTGCTCGTATATCGTGGGACACCCGAGTTAGCAACGCTGTTATTAGGAAACGGGTACTAGGTAAGAATGGCAGATCAATCGATGAAGTGGTGAAACTTCATCAGTTGAGGTGGTTGGGACACGTGTTGCGTATGCCTAACCAACGACTCCCTCGTCGAGCTTTGTTTTGTGGTGTAGGAATAGGTTGGAAGAAAGCTAGGGGCGGCCAAACCAAAACATGGCGTAAATCCATGAAGTCATTGACGAGTGGACTTAGCCATGTCGGTAATTGTCGACTACCTGGTTGGGGTCCGCGAGATGATAATAATCGATGGCTAGAGACCTTGAATGACATGGCTCAAAATCGTTCGCAATGGCGCCAGTGCATTTATTCTTTGTGTTCTCTCAAATCTTAATCTTCTGGATTCTTCAACACCTCTATTTTTGACTTTCTAAACTTTTTTCACTGAATCATACTTCTTGAATTATATCTTCTAATCCTAACCTCTCCGATTACTTCTAATACCTCTACTACCTCTTCTACTATTGGATTTGAATTGACAATTATATCTCTGTGCTGATGTGGTATGGCGACATGAACTGATGTACTTACGTACGAAGTTCTACGTTGCAACTGACTGACTGAATGCATGCTAAAAATTTAAATATGTAGGTCGTGAATTGAGATACGAAAAACGACTAAATAGACATTCACACGTTCGAGACCGGATGCCTTCAAAAACAGGTCTGTACAGATTACAAACTATTTTACGTAAGTATCAACACTACATATTCAGAACGACAAACGGTTAACCTATAATTCTTTAGGTTACCCAATTTAAATGAATAACAATGTAATTTGACATACGATGTGGATGAGCGGTGTCTGTACAGATATTAGTGCACACTGTAGTGCAGATCCCATCCTCTAGCTTAATCCTTTTCTTGTAAGAAAGTTGCTTTTTTGTATCTCAGCAGCACCAATAGGATTATTAGTCTTCATATATCAAAGTGAAATATATGGGAATATTGGTACAATGGATTTTATTAACAGGGACGACAGTTTAATAAGAATCGAGTGAAAAACGTACCTGTATAGGTTCTTTAGCCTCACAATGACCTCCAGGTGGCACCCAAACACCTGGATACGACCGCATATGCCACGGTCTGCGAGTAAGAATTAAACCGTCTAGTCCAGATATGTGCAGAAGGCAAGAACACGCCACAGGAATCCATCTGCGACAGGTTGTACCTTTTGAGTCTAAGAAGCGTCGATTAGATATACTGAAGGGACAAACACGAGGACGCTACATAAAATAAATAAACATCTCATAAATATTAATGAATATATAGTATAAGTTAATGCAGTGAGGGCGAGTCATTGAGATGGTGATGCACATTTCCCCAGTTACTACTAATAAATTGAATTTTATTGTATTAAAGGAGACTCAAGTGCCAACATTTGCTTCAGGTTTACTTTACAATAACACCCCAGAATGACCATAGGAGCAGATTATTAAATGAATGAGTGTCTAACACTTCCCTTGTAATCCCACTAACAAGTCGTTTCGGAGATACTTCACGATTGGTTATAGAAGGGCGTAAGTAGTCATTACCTCTCTTGGACTGTAAATTATTGAGCACTTTATACCCCTCGAATCCACTCATTTTCCACGAACCATATTTTTTGAAGTTTAATTCGCCGAGATTCGCGTTACCCTATCTTCATTTTTCGGCAGGCAAATTAATATAATCTTTTTGAATCGCTTTGCACACACAACCTTTAAACTTTATTATATATGCGTGTCTGCTTACTGCTTACTGTATTTTTTACCTATCGTAGCTTGCTGTCTGACTATAAATGCTGTATCACGAAAATTGAATGGCCAACGCTACCTACCTGTGCTTGACGTATGTCTGGGTTAATGAATAACTCAAATTAAAAATTCCCTGACACTTTATATCAGGCTACTAGTACCACCAATGCACCATGGAGTTAGGTTACTCTAAAAACGGCGGACGAAACTAAAAGGTGAGTTTATACTACACGGTTTATTCATCATTGTCGTGATCGTGGTCGACCGGTAGAAATATCGCACGCAGAAAAGCGAAGGCAGTCCACCAACGACTAGATATGGACGAAGAGTCAGATGGCTGCAAAGATTTATAGATACGATTTTGAACTGATTTCTTTCGCCATTTTGAACTCACGGCATAATGATCGACACAGGAACGGCATCAATCATACTTCCAGTCAATAGAATGATTTCCTCTGGATAACAGAAGAGATGAAGCTAATTCATCTACTCTAACAGCCACAATAGCTTTGTTACGAGAAAGGGACTTAACTCCAAAATGAAATGTCTTGAATGAACTTGTAGTGTTTTTCTCAAGTATCAATACTCGACTAATAAATAAATAGCAGTTGGAAAGCTGTTAATTTAGTAATATATTATAAGATTCAGGCACAAAATCGTTTTGATAAATAAATCTCGAACTCTTTAGATAAGGTCCTGTTGGATCACGCTCAGTTTATTTTAGACGTATGAACAATAAAACCCATAATTAACGAAACTCATATAAAGATATTTGCAAATTCTATTTGCGAAACTAGATACTGATCGAGACGTATCAAAATTCCGATAACCATTTTATTATATTTAAGTGACCAATACCTTCAGTACTAAACTATAGTCTGCTTAAATTTAAGGAAAGGAAGAAGTTAAGTTACTGAGTTTTTGGGTGCCAAATATAGAAGTTTGCAGTTCGAGGACGGCTAAATATCTCACTCCGTCTATTACATTTTAAGTAATTACGACTGTGACTGATATTATGATTGCCTCCCAATATTTGCATAGTCAAATATATATCTTGAAAAATTCAATACTAAACTGTCATTGACACATCTAATTAAAAAAGATTCCTAAGAGCTGATATAGAAATCAATTTGATCTGGTTAAAAGACTACTTCTCCGAAGATAAATTTCACACACAATATTCAGTAAAACGTTAATGTGACACGCACTAACAGATAAAGGTATCTCTGTCGACTTAAATTCCGAACCATCAGCGTCAATGACTAATTCACACAAATCCTGTCTAATTTTCATGGTCGCTTCATCCTCCAAACCAAGGACATCCATTATTGACTAAAGATATTAAAGAAATCGATGATACTATATATTTTAAATACCTCTTCGAATTCTAATCGTCTTTGAAGACTAGAAGAATAAACATACACCATGTCAGTAAGCTATCTTCTTTGAACCGATACTATTAGGATCAAAAGGCGCGCCGTTAAGGCCATTCTAACAAGCAAACGCGTGCTAATTAAAAGGACTGTTACAACGCACTCAAAATCTTAGTTTTTAAACTTCTAGCTCCGATTATCAATTTGTCCTAATCTCATTTTTGTGTTATTTCTGATTGTTGTCGAAAGCTTTCCCTATTGAAAATGAACTCAGACCATTTGTTTATTTAGTCATTAGATCACATTTTCTCTTGTTTTTTCCTCTTCCGAATAACCTCGCACGCTGTTCAACACACTTTTTAAGCATACAAGGTACCTTCAGGCCGAGCGAAAACTTACCAAGTGTTGAAGTTACACACTGGTATTTTCCCTATCTTAGTTATATTTTAGTTTTGATCTCTGTTTTCATTCTAGTTGAAATAATTTCAGTTACACTCCCACCAGGAGTATATTTTTTCTCAAGCTCAACTTCGCATCTATATTCTATTGAGTCTACCGGCTTTATTTTTGCTTTCCGCAGGTTTGAACTTAACAGTTCACGGTTTGCTTCTTTCTGGTTCTCATTTTTTATCTCTAAGTGTCTAAACAGTCTGGAAACCTCATCTCAATGAATAGATATTGTACAAAAGTTATTTGATATTGCTTTAGCTGCCAATACCCTGCTGAAAAGGGTATTCAGTTTGATGGTTGCGTAGGGTTATACCACTAGGCTTGTAGATATCTGATACCTGAGGTTAGCTCAGCTAATAAAGATGTACATTTTTTGTGCTATCAATACAATTCCGACTAAAGAAGTGGCACTTCAACAGCGTTGTAGCCGAGAATGCAGTCAAGAGACATAATAGCAATAAACTTCTATATTTTTCAAATGATACCTGCTCCCTCAACACACAGATCCAAGCATAGGGTCGAATGACATAAATGGGCGGAATGAGAAAAACCAACCCCGAAGAGGTCTGCAAGGAACAAAACCCAAAAAGGTGGGTTTATTTATGCCCTATCTTGTAAAAGGCGGTAGTCAGAGAAGCCTAATATCGTAGGTCTCCGTCCAACTAATCAAAAAGCAATCTATCCACCTAAGTCTTCGTAAATCAACCAAAATTTCACAATGTGCTTAACGCAGCTATGATAACCATTCCAGTGAAAACTTACGAATGGATATAGGACAAAAAAGGTAAGGGTTTAATGTTTTCGAATAAATTTCATCTTTCGTAACTTCCTTCATAGAGAATCCAGAACAATTCTCTACAAAACATGCGTAAGACCTATTGCTGAATACTGCTCTTTCTTATTTTCTAACCTACGTCTGTCTGATATGTTGAAGCTTGAAGGAATACAAAGGAAATTTACTCGGAAAGTCCCAAATCATAGCTCACTCATTGACTATCCAATCCGATGTATTGAACTCTGGCTTGATCCATTATGGAAAAGAAGGCTTAAGTCCAATCTGATTCTTTACTTTAAACTCCTGCACAAGCTCAGATATTCCTCCTGCAGTTTAGTGCTTATCCATGGCCCATGTACACATAACCTTCGAGATAAATTATCTACGGTCAAACTTGAGAAGTATACATCCAGAACTCGAGAAAACTTCTTCCTCACTAGGTATGCACTTATATGGAATAGGCTTCCCTCAAAAATACGCATGGCAAGTGGGTTACATGAGTTTATTCAACTTCTTAATGATACTCTCAGTTGCACTGACTCTTCTGCACTCGTGAACAAACTCGCACCCTGCTTTCATATTAATAGCTCTGCATACACTTTAAACACAATGAACTCAGTGCTGCGTCTTATTTAGTTATTTTTACCCTCCCAAGTAGCATTAGATTTTTCTAGTTAAATATAAATCTCTTTAGTTTTTGTTTGAAATAGGCAGGTTACTCTACTCACTGGCTCGATCGACACTGTTCAACTGTAAACTGGTTGATTAGAACGCACTTTAGTTTGCTGAGCGCAACCGTATCAAAGCTTACAACTGTGTGAGCTTCACATTGCCTATTATCAATTATACTGTTCTCTGTTACACGTTATTGACTTACCTTGATCCCTTAGTGTTATCTATTGCTCCACTTTTAACCGTGATACTCTTTATATCTCCTGCTTAGCTAGTAAAGTATATCTCCCCCACTACATTTTAAATGCTTATGACTTGTTTGAAAATCCTTACTATTTCCCCATAACTGTTAACTGTATAGCATTAATGCCTAAAAAATAGTTCATAATTTGTAACAGCCAGACAAGTTCGTGAAAGGAACTTGCAGAAATAGTGTTTCTCAACAGGATGCGAGACATAGAACACCAAGTAGAACTCAATAGCTTCTTTTAAACATTTAACATGAGCCTAACAACACAAAAGGAGGGAGGGTGGAGTTACTGACCAGCAAACATTGATGGTGTGGGCGATAACTTCAAACCACCCATGTTTGTGGGGCAGAACATTTTGTTTGCTTTCGGCTCTTTAGATTGATGAGACGACTAATCAGTAACACTGAGGTTGCTCTTATACGCTTGCTACTTCTGTGGTTCATGTTTCCGAAACTATGCTGAGGTCGCTATTCTGTCGAGACACCTGCAACATTCTTACTCAGGCGCTAACAGTATGACTTAGAGGTTGGCATTCAATAATAAAGAAAAAAACAGTTAGACAGTGCGAGATTTTATTCATCAAATTCTTATTCTTACAAACTCTACTCTTTCGATTTCAACGTACATAAATCCAGCTTCTTACTTCGACTTCTCTTCTATCCACCTGACACTGCACAACTCTTCCTTCTTTTTGCTGTACTCCTTTATCTATGGGTTATATTCTTATATTCCCATAATTTACTTTAAATTAAGTGGTCAGTATGAATTTTATCTTGACTTACTACTGTATTGACTACTTCAACATGAAAGGTTAAGTAGTGCTTTGGTTATATGTATACACTTGCCACACTGCTGCCTTTTTCTCTCTCTTTTCTCCTTTTCAGAACCCCATTCACGGTGGGAAATCCTTGGCGACTCTGGGGAACATCCACCCTATGTGCATGACTGTCTGGATCACAGCTCGTAACAAGCACGTTTCATATGACCTTTCCCAACAAATTCACCATTGATCTTGGCAAATCGCCAAAAGAACCTATTGTGCACCTTCCTTCCTTATTTGTACTCTACTATTGAAAATTTGGCTGTATTATACTGTTTCTCTCAGTTACATGGTGTAAATGTGCTATCAGAAACTGACTCTTATACCTAATTTAACTGCTATAACTTTACAGTAATTGTGAAAGCATTTGTGACGATTTGATCTAGCCTGTAAACTGGCGTGACTCTTGTAACGTAGTTGTTTGAGAATATATATATATATCAGCTTGAAAACCCGATAACTTATCACTGTAACAGGTCAGTCATCTCACACAGAATAAGGCATTGTAAAAGTCTCGGGCACAAAGTCTCCTACGATCAAGAGATTGGGTTAATAAAAGACCTGTAAATACGCTACTACCTAAAGATGTTCCCGGTGTCGCTCTGCTGAAAATGTATAGACTTGGAAGCCTAACAGACTCACAAGAAAAGCAGACTACGTAGCCGTGAGTATAAAAACCCCTAAAAAGGGACTTAATATTATAAATTATAAAATGAATATAAAGTAAGGGGATGATCAGTTTTTGTCCATATAGATTAGTCACTCGCAGACCGTATTGGAAATTGAGAGTCCAAAATCTCAACTAAAACAAAGGTTAGGTGCTTGCTAGAAGACCCTCGAATTATAAAAATAAGGGTGGTAAGGCTTCCAAAAAAGATGTCAAAACTGCTGTGGACTCTGCAGTGGAACACTTCTACAAAGAAACCGCGATTTTGCGCAACAATCTTTCTAATGCCAATGTCGCCTAAACCGCAGTCAGTGGGGGAGTAAGTGGATACAACGAAGAGGCAGCGGCGAGTGTGCCTGTCCATCCGAGTGCCCAACGTCCATATTGGTCGGACAGCGCATAAGCGAGTCCAAGAGAAGCGCGTTGCCCAGTTAGGTAGGTTTGATTGTCTCTCGAGGTGACGAAAGGTCACGTTAGTTGACGACTTCCACCCCGTGAGGTCTGGATTGCCAGAAGCACGCGCCAACCTGGCCAATACCCTACCTACTTTATCCGGCTTGTGACTGGCAGACGGTGCATAATTAATAACTATGCTTCACTCACGACGTGGCAGTTCTACACTAATGACTAACACTTCCCGTCATTGAGTAAGGAATCGGTCACATGACGTTTATTGATCTGTAAGACCTAATTTCATATTATATTATATTTTAACGCTTAATGTTCAGAAGCACCCTCATTTTCTAATCGTGGTACAAAATAGTTCTGCTAGCCCGCTACAACCTGGACTGACGCTGCCTTTTGTGCTTCTTTGGACAGCATCAGTGCAACTACTTGTTTGTGTAGGGCATTTTATTCCTCATGACCGGACTATGATATCAGCTCTCTTGAAGTTAGTCTCCCTTGTCCTACCTGTGTCCAATGCGTTTCACAGATTCCAAACACCTCTAGGTTTTATTTTTTCATCTCTGCAGCAATTCTTAACAGTCTTTCGGTCTCCTACATTGTTCGAACATTGCATGTACCTAAAAGAATGGTTCTCTCTCACAGTACGTTGTTTCTGATCGTGTCTGGTCAACGAATCCGAAGTATTTTGCGTAGACAACTGTTCATAAATGCTTTTATCTTCTGGATGATGGCTTTGGTAGTTCTCCGAGTTTCCGCTCCATACAGTAGAACTGTCTTGACATGTTTATTGAAAATTCTGAATTTGGTGTTGATTGATTTTTGCTTACAGTTCCAGATATTTTTCAACTGTAAAAATGAAGCCCTTGCTTTGCCGATCCGCGCCCTCATATCTGCAGTGTATCAACCTTGGTTGTCGATGATACCGACCAGATATGTAAAGGTGTTACCGTCCTCCGATGATGAGACCAGCAGTAGCCCTGAAGGGTCTACAGGTGGAGTTATCAGATCACTATACCTTCTCTATTATATTCTGTAAATCAACATTTTTGCTAACAATTTAGTTCTTCTGAATTTCCTCTATTC